ATTACTGGCATCTGTGTCAAGAATGAATTGTCCTTGTGGAAGTGGATACCCAAGAATCGATGTCGTGGTCAAGCGTTCCTTCAGAGCATCAAAGGCGACCTGGCATTCTGGATCCCAGTGGAAGGGACGTGCTTCCTCGGTGAGACGAGTCATGGGCTTTGCGATATCCGGAAACATACGCACGTAACGTCGATAATAAGTGCAGAGGCCAAGAGAGCTTCACTGCTCGTACTTTCTCAGGGTCGACTTCCACACTCTGCCTTCCTACGACGTGTCCCAAGTAGTTAACCCGTTTCTGCAGCAGATGGCATTTCTTCAGATTGAGTGTGAGGTTTGCAGCCTGAAGTCTTTTGAAAACTTCCTCTAAGTTGGCCTGATGTTCTTCGAAAGTTTTACCGATCACGATGATGTCATCCAGATAAACCAGGCATGTCTTCCAGGAGAGTCCCCTCAACACATTCTCCATGATTCGTTCGAAGGTGGCAGGAGCATCGCAGAGTCCGAAAGGCATTACCTTGAATTGCCATAATCCAGTGCCGATGGTGCAAGCTGTCTTTTCCTCATCTGCCGAATCCATTTCCACCTGCCAATATCCCACTTCTCAGGTCCAGAGTGGAGAAGAGATTCGATTCCGCTAACGTGTCGAGTGTGTCGTCAATTCGAGGCAAAGGATAACTGTCCTTCTTCGTCACGTTGTTCAGTCGGCGATAGTCCACGCTGAAACGAGTGCTTCCATCTTTCTTCATTACTAGTACCACGGGTGAAGCACAAGGACTATTGGATGGCCCGTCTTGTTCCATATCCTGGATGATCTTCTCTGCAATTTCTCTCTTGGCCTGTGGTAATCTTCGGGCTGGTTGACGAATCGGTCTGGTATCCCCCGTATCGATTTTGTGACTGACGATGTTGGTTCTACCTGTTTTTCCATTGGCAGGTATGAAGATGGATCTATACCTCTGCAGTAACTCGGTTGACTTCATCGTCTGTCGGTTGTTGAGGGAGTCGCTTGCAGCAGAGACGAGTTCTTTATACTTGCCGGTTTCATCAGTGGTTGCTGTCACCTGGTGGATTATGGAGGCTGCCGGGACACAGGTTACAATCTTCGTTCCTTTGCCAATCGTCACAGGGTAATTATTTATGTTGATAAATCTAACAGGTACATGGTCGTCTGCTGACATTAAAGCCTTTCCGACTGAAATTCCTCTTCTGACTTCCTCGTCATGGTTCCAGGGTTCCATGATGATGGGCCTGCCTTGTTCCAATGTCCCCTCAATCCGCGCTGCTACAATGGTCTCGCTCCGTTTCGGTAACAGGATGTCCTCTTCTTACGTTACCCCTGCCGCTACGTCCACCCGTGGATGTGAGAAGATCTCTTCGGCACCCACCTTGAGTGTTCGGCTTCTAAAGTCCAGTTGAATCCCTTGCGCACCCATGATGTCCATTCCCAGAATAACATCTTCTTCAATATCTGCCATGATAGCTCGATGTGAAAATTTGACGGACTCGATCGATAAATCTACATCGATTTCCCCATAAACGGTAGCAGCTTCACCCGTTGCAGTTCTCAGATGCCATCTTGAGTTCACAAGTTGCTTTCTTGGAAACGTCAGAAGTCCACGTTGCAGGATCGTCTTCGATACACCAGTATCCACCAACAATGCATATTTCTTTTCGTCGATCTGTCCATCTACGTAGACGCTGCCGTTATTACGCCGTAGGGATGCCACGCAGATAAGGGGGTCTTGGGAATGACGGGTCGAAACTGGTCTTTTCGGATCAGCCCGCTCTAGTATTCTTGCAGCTGCTCGAACTGGTTTCTTCTCCTCATCCAAGAGGCCCTTGATGACGTTCATAAGGTCTTCAGTTGGATCTTGCCTGGGATTGTCTGCTATGTTTTTGCTGTCATCGACGGCTTGAAATTTTGTTGCTTCTCGTGTAGCTTCTATCGCGGCCTCAATCTCTAGCGCAGCTGCCAGAGCACTGGGAGAGTCTTTAGGTCGAGTCAACCGAACCGCTTTCCGCATTTCCATATCTCGCAATCCATCCAGGAACGTTTGGACAGCAAGACAGTCTATCAGATACTCAGGAGCTGATGGGTAGGCACATCGAACCAACCGAGCTACTTTCATTTCGAATTCCTGTAGGCTCTCATTGCCTTCCTGTCGACGGTTCTTCATCTGTGATCGTAGCTCTTGCTGTAGATGTTTTTGACCATATCGCATGTTGAGGCGTTCGATGAGATGATCGTAGTTATCGGATTCATCCTCCGGAATGTTTTGCAAGATTGTAACTTCAGTTCATCTATTTCGAGCTGCAGTTCCTTCTTCAAATCTTCTATCTGAGTCGCGACTTGAGCTGTTATCTGAGCCAATACCTCCTGCCGTTGAGCTGAGATCTGAAAGGGTATCTGATCCTGATGAGCAGAAATACGTGTCAGAACCTCTTCTCGCTGAGCGGACATCTGATCCGCAATGTCCTGTCGCTGAGACGCTATGTCCTGTCGTTGAGCCGCTATCTGCTCCGTGATCTTCTCCTGCTGAGCCACCATCTGGCCCGCAATGTCCTGTCGCTGAGCCGCTATCTGTTCCGGGATCCCAGCCAACATCGATTCCGCTGAAGCTGGTTCCTCGAAGGTGAACGTCTCTGTATCTTGACATGCACTCACCATAAACTCTTTGAGATGATGCTGAAGTGTAGCCTTGATCCCTCCCTGTTGTGTCGAGATCTCTCTCCTCAAACTCGCGTTTCAAGTCCATCACTCTCAACTCGTGTAGTTTCTTCATTGCAATGGTCTGTTCACTTCACACTGGAATATCCCACACTTCTGACACCAATTGTTACGTTATTCGAGTGCAGAAGCGAACACGACACTATTTATTTTCGAACTGATTTATTTGAACTAAAGAAACACTAACTTATATCGAACTTATAACTACTATTTATGTGAAACGATTTATATCACGCGGTATATAACTGTCGCTCTGACACTCGCTGCTTAACTGACTGACTCAGTTGTTCGGTCATCTTATATATAATATCCATTGGTAGGCTTTGGTTCGAGAACGTTCTCGAATGATCTTCCGTCTCCTTCTTTTTGTTCTAGAAGCTTCTTAGAACAAAACCTCTCTAATTGTTCCATCGATTGTTTCCAGAACATTCCAGAATCTTCTGTGACGTTATTTGTCACTGCGGCATATATTGGGTGTTCGGAAATATGCTGGTGTATGTAGGAATCATTGGGAGGTTGAAGAACAATCTGGGATGCGTGATACAGTATGATCGTTGTACTCCTGTTTTACTGATGATGATGTTACTAGAGCCCCTCTAAGGGAAATATCATTACAATATCATAACTCATTTTTATTAGTAATGAAGTTCATTCTGCCAATGGAATATTCATGGGAATTATTCATGATACTTGAAAAAGTAGGATTGAAGAACCTTTTATATCCTACTGCTGTTATGATATAGTTGTTATGCATTCAAAGAACAATTTCCGGGAATCTGGACATTTTTATGATGTCGGCAACGTCGTACTGGCACAGGAAATCGTTTTTTAACTCTGTGTGAATGTGGATTTTCAGAAAGTACGTTATAGGAATGGTGGAGGAGCCAAGTTCCTCTTTCATAAATTTTTTTCTGAAGTGAAATTTGATCTTAAGAAAAAAATAAAAATTACGTATATATAAATTTTTTACAAACTCCGCAGTGAGATAAGAACCTCAGTGTAGGAAACATCCCCATTCAACTAGGTTGTTTCCTACGCTGTAATTCGAGCCAGATCTTCATTGACAGCGTCGATCTGTCTTAGTATTGTGTTCTTCATTTCCTGGAAACAAATGAGATTTCTGGAAGAGAACGCAGTATGGAGCAGCCGCAAAGGTGTGGATTTGACAAATCGTTACTCCCAATAGTCACTGATATGAAATGGGAACGATGTTGTTAGCAAAATATTCTTCAAAATTATTCGAAATTGTTTACTAATATCTTCTTAGGATAATGTATATACCTTTAGTTTTTCGGTATACTTCAAATCATGTCATAATATAAACATATGAACAGTTCACCTCAATCTTTTTTACTAAACTATTCATGTACTCACATTTCGAACATTTTCATTCACACACACACATTTATACATATATAAAGGTGTGTTTTCACCTAGGTGTCCTAATTCTGATATTTAAATAAAAATGCAGAACATGTTGTTGATATCTATAAGTATCCTCATTTCTATCAAAATCAAATATCACTAGTCGATATTTTTTGTCTAGATGATATCACCTGTGAATAATTTATAGAATGTAAGAAAACTCATATACCTGCTGTTATAGAAACCTATCAATCAAATTCATATTATCTTAAACAAATAAATGTAATGAAAATAAAATTGAAATTTATCTTTGTGGAACGCCGGAATTGATGAGTAAGGAATCAGATGATACTCCGTCCACCATCAAATGGAGTGATCTGCCTGAAAGATAACTCGATGAGAGATGACATAGCTGGGGTGGTGAGCATTACTTGAGAGGAAATTATATGGCTACAAGACGAAGAAATGAAAAATGCTGCTGTCATTTAATACAGCAGTTGGAAAATTATAGTGTATAACTCGCACTGAATGCTGACTTTCCCCTCGAATGATTACAGAATTAGCCTACGGCTCATGCTGAAAACTTCATGCTCTTGGAAAATCTTTATCATTCCGTGCTCATTGAACAATATACTATTCCGCAACATATTGTGTTTCTTTGATTCGGGCCGGATTAATCATCACTCGATATAATGTTTAGGTATTTCTCGAAATTCCTCCTAATGACAATCATGTGGATCCGTTCAACACCTTCATTTTGCCAATTTTTATTCCATCTGATCTTCTGTGCTGTCATAACTGTAGATTTCGACTATTTGTTATTGAATTGAATTTATATCCGAAGATCCTTCGCTATATAAATAGCTTCATCAGACTAAAGATGTTCCTCATTTGCTTTTCATTCCAGGATCTGACTGTGATAGTCGGATGTTTACACGGACAAATAATGCAGGTGAATGTACCATGTGAACCTCAATGTTACACTGATGTATCATTCCTCTTAAGAGTGGATGCACAATATCTCAATTTCAAAACATACAAAGCTCAGATCAGAAGGAACATAAAAATAAAAAATATCCAAACTAGGAAGAAAAAAAAGATTGAGAAGAAACGAAAAGACATGGAACAATTGAAGAAAGATAATCCTGGATTAGAGATAGATGAAGAAACTTTCCTGGGTAAGGAATATTACAATATTTGAAAATTCTCTACAATGATAATGATTATGACCATGAAATCATTTGTTTATTCAATTGATCTAATATAGAGAGATAGTAATCTACAATGCATACGAAGTTGATTCAAAAATAATTTGTTATAAAAATTTATATCTAATTCATTGAAATGAGTCTCTGAATACAGTTGGTGGATCAAATGAAGTAGTCGATATGATAAGCTCGGCAGATATATTCACAAGATATCTTGGAGAAATTTATTTCTATAGGAGGTTGGTTGCGGATTGATTGTGAACAATATTTTCATGGTACCCGTGATCCTACACATTCAATGATCTCGGAAATATTTCATGTTTCAATATTAGTCCAATAAAATGGAATTTGGGCGAGCCAAAAATCCAAGTAGTCGGATTCTCTGCGCTTTGTCATGCTTTTGAGTGTGCTGAATCTGAGTCTGAAGTTTGCGAACAACATTTTTTTGATAATTTCGAGATATCGGCGAAAAATAGGGAAATTCACGCATTGTTTTTTCTTCCCCACTTGAAAACTATACATTTTATCAGAAAGACCACTCTGAAGAAAATTTTGATAGATGAAACTTTCCTTAAACAACAAAATTGCTGGAACACATTGATATACTGAAATCTACCGTTTGTATGTGAATAGAGTTCAAAGTTCACATGAAAATACACATTTCTGTTCGGTGGTCAGAAATCAGTGAAACAAATTCGATAGAATCCGGAAAAAGTGCATTTCAGAGTACTACTCTCCTTTCCGTTATTGAAGAAACCCAAAAGGAATCGTAGAAGGTTCAAAACTACCCTCACCCTCTGACATTTTCTTCAGCATAATCCAAAGGGTTGTAAAATGTTTTCACATTTTTTTACGAGAAGACAGATTAATTGTCCTTTTTTTGTGACCTATGTGTAAACTTCGTACCCCTCATATTTCCGAAGGAAAGGACTGGTTTATTTAATGATGTTTACAAAAATTCGAATGGTAGATGAACCTTTTCCCTTGTCGTTGACCTGCGGTTGCTCTCCAGTAGGAGGACTTTTCAATTTCTTCCCATTTCCTGAGTTCTCCTTTCAGGTGACATTGGCTCATCCCACAAAAAGGCTCAGGACCAAAAAGTGCAGATGCTGCACCTTTTTTTGCAAAGCGATCAGTTGCTTCGTTTCCTTTGATTCCTTCATGCCCTGGAACCCACATAAGTGTGACTTTGTTGCCCTTTTCCAGTTGCATGAGTGTTTCAAAGCAGTCCCATGTAATCTTTGATGTGAAAACGAATGATTTCAGGGCTTTTAGTGAGACTTGGCTGTCTGAGCAGATATATATGTTAGCACCCCTCAGACCTTTGCTCAGGCACCTTTGGGCGCAAAGAATGATGGCATGTATTTCAGCTTGGAAGATAGTGGGGGAGTGACCTGAGGCATCAAATAGCCTACATCCGGGTCCATATACACCCGCGCCTACCCCTTCTTCCATTTTCGAACCATCGTTGTACCAAACAAGGGACCCTCTGTCCAGCTGAGGCTCAGCGGAACCGTACCTAGGGCGGCTTTTTATAACCACTCCGAAAGTAAAACTGAGCCTGGCTGGCATTATGTCCGATGGTTTGGTTGCAGATTCCATTCGTACTTCTTGTAGAATTACCATGTGACCAGTGACATCACCTAGTCTGGCCAATTCAGTGGAGTTCAGTCTGTATGCACTGAGAGCTGCAGTCCTCTTGATAAAAATATGCAAGGGTAGTAGGTCAAGCATAGCTTCCATTGCAAAGCTATATTCATCTGACAGACTGATCTGACAGATCTGACAGACTGATCAGAGGGCATTCCAATTTTTTATACAATTTTGTGATATTTTGTTCCTGAGAATTCCGCATTAGGAAATCAAGATGTGCTAGTGGTGTACTTCAATTTTTATCGAAGAGAATACGAAATACCAATCTTCCTGTCTATTGATCAAATTGGTGAAATATATTTCAATGCACAATCACGGCGGTGAATTGCCCTACGAATTTCAAAGTAGTACCATTTAACGATTTTGAAATGATTCAAGGAAATCTGGAGATGAAACAATTCTTCAGTGCCCTCTCACAGCTCAACGGTGCATTTCCGTATAAAGGTAAGTTGATTTCGATCGGCCTTGTCAGATCTGTTCTTCATCCTGTAGAATTCATAATACGTTGTTCAGAGTCATTTTTTTCTCCACATCAATAGGTCCATGGCAGGAGTACATAGTTCTACGAGACAGGTGGCAGAAAGTGATTTTTTCAAACTGCTATGTCGGTTAACGATTGCTGAAGTTCAAGCTTTCATCTTGTATGTCATATACTCGTTTTTTCAACAACATTGATAAGCTGCTGATAAGCGTTCTTTCACGATTGAAGTGGCAGGAGCGGATTCTGTTAATGAGCTTTATCATTACAACAGTTAAAAAGATAACCAAGCTTGATCAAATAAGACATCGAGAAATTTTGCTGGCTCCCAAGCTAAAATGTTCGTTTTAAATTTCTTCAAACTCGAAGTGAGGATGATGCATTTCTTTCTCCAATGTTATGGTACTGAAACCTGAAGAGGATAGTATTTAAAGACTGAAGAATGATTAGAACTTCCTACCCTATTGGAGTAAACACACTTCACTCATAGGAAACATTGGAGTATGATCACCGCAAATTTGATCACTTTCTGCTAAAAGAGATGTAATTGTGTAACAACTTCCTTCTGTATCCTCTGGTTCTCAGATATTGTTTTCCCAACATCAACTGGAAACAGGAAATAGCATAATTATATCAGTTCTGTGTCAGGCATCTGAGCATCGTTTTTGGGAGAAATTCCTCGGACATGCGGAAATGCACGACATTCTGGTTCGCGTCAAAATTGTCAGTTGAATTTCAGAATGCGTCCATCGTATTTCAATTGATATTTCCTGAACAACAAACGACACTTTCTGAAATTCAATCACAATAATTTTGAGAAACAATTGACGCTTTCTGAAAATGAATTGACTATTCTGAGATACAATTGACGCTTCCTAAAATACAAATGACTATTCTGAAATACAACCGAGAAAGGTATACTGGCGTTCTGGCACTGAACTAGCGAATATCCTGGCGAAAAGCTTTTTCAACCTTCTGAACTAAGCCAAGGAGGAGAACACAAGGGAGCCTCATGAATGAAAGGACATCGCCATTCTCTTGTGATCAAAATATGAGGAATGTGGAATGAAACAACAGGGGTAACACAATGGTTCCACACCAAGTGGTCCAAGTGAACTAGGGCTCCACAGAGCTCGTCCTTTGATTACGAAATCCGAAATCCAAATTCTAGGCTTCAATATTACCTCCGATTCGGTTAAGACAAGATCATCTTCTGTGAAATGAATAAAATAAATCTTGACTATCTCAGGTTTAGAGTGATAGGTAGAGAAAGATAGGCCCCACAGATATTTTCCAGATAGGTACATATCTACTCATGAAACTTGATGATATTTTTTCTTCTCTTTGCTTTGAGGCTTCTTTATCAGCTTTTTGTTACATGAGAGCACTTGAGTGATAAAAAAACAGAGAATAATGTAAGACAAACCCTTCAACAATCCCAGTGAACACTAACTCGTTGATTAAACGTTGAGTAGGTAACAGTTCGAATCGTGGAAATAACGTGAGTGGTTGAACACGTTGGAATTAGGTTGAAGATAACCTGAAAATGAAGTCGTTATTTGGACGTTTCAATCTCAGCAATTAATCACTTTCCATTTATCTACAAATACTGTAGATAGTCGAAACAAAACGTTGATACTTTCAAGCAACAAAACGTCATTCTATCCTAATGACACGACATTTTCACAACGTATGGTAGAATGATCGCAAGAAAATTTCCTGTATATAACGTTAGACAAATGATAGATAAAAACAACTAAATCATTGTATATATTAACGTTTTGAATTCACTATAACTTTCTATTTGCTTGATAAGTCACTCGATTGTTTACTGATAATATCGATAAATAGTGGAAAATCACCAATTCAAAAACGTTCATTGATATATTCAAAAGATGATTCATTGAAATTCGAATTCCTCAAACAATTTTCAGGAGTTAAATTCAGTTTTTCATTCAATTCAGGAAACACTGATTCAATCACTGGTTATTCAACGAATTTGAGATTTGATGATTCTACGTTTGGGATACTTGAATATAAAACGTTTTTCTCGGAATTGAACATCATCTGTTATGTACAGGGTGACTGGAATGAGAGCTCAATCATCAGGACTTCCTAAACCGTAAGAGATACAGAATCGGTGAAATTATGGCAAATTAGTGCAATTTATTACTTGGGAAAATTACGTTTTCGAACTGCCGAATACCTCCAGAGATACTTTCGGAGATATCCAAAAATATTTAAATTTCATGAGATCTCCATCATTTCTTAGTTATTTGAAGAAATTGATCGAGATGAATGACAGTTGGCGTTCTCAAATTTGAAATCTGACATTTCGTCTTCCATGAACTATCATCAATTTGTATTTTTTGAATAGAAACCCGTTTTTTCTTATCAATCTTTGGATAGCTCAAAGCTAGGAGCTATCACATATCGTCATTTTCAGATATTTCGGTAACGTAAGTTTACAGTTTCGTATTGAATATTGAAAAAAATACAGAAACTGTCGATATTCGTAAACGATCGATAATCAAAATTTGTGATAGCTTATAGCTTATGGTTATTCACGGTTAGTGAAAATAGAATCACTGAATATAAGCAAATATTTCAATTCACACGAAATTGACTGCATTTGTCACTTCTTCTGGAAAAAATCGATCAACTCGGAAACAGAGTGTTCTATTGACATTAACAAAAATATCGTCACATCCTAAGACACCGAGAGTTTGACAATGAAGAAAACTCCATTTTCCTTCCACCTCTTCTAAAAATTTTCAGAATCGAGCCTTTATCAATTCTCCATAAAATAGTGTTAACTCTTGAAGATCTAACCGTCGTTTCGGAACGTGTATTTATCATGGATACGAAACAACTTTTCAACTTTCAATTCATCCAGCAAAGTCCCCACGGTGGACTAACGTTTATTCTCAACATTTATTGAACTCTTGAAATAAACGTTACTTGAACGATTCATTGGGATTATTTGTTAACCGTTGGATTAAAAAAAACGTGAAATATGTGTTTTCTTGCAACGTTAGTTAATCGTCATTAGACATCGTATATTCAATCCATTCACATCTTGCTGACGCTCACACCAAGAGTTCAAGTACAAATACGAGTTGTCAAGCATATCTGGATATGAATACGTATAGAGATAGGCATCGCATTAAGAAGAAAGAAGGATACCTAAGGAGAGGAAATACTTGGACAAAATAACTCTAATTGATAATCAGAGTGATCATGAAAATGTTGATAAAATATTTGTACACACTAAAATAACGAAACATAATCAGTTCGAAACGTCAAAGAAACGTTCTAAAAACCAAAAATTCGACGAATAAAAATTAATCCGGAGTGAACGTTGAAATATCTATTTTTTCAGCAGTAACAGAACACTGATATCTCACGTTCATTTGTCTTGAAGCATTTGATTGATCCTTGTCCAATTAAAAAAATGGAGGAAACAAGTGATAGTATTTTTGGAGAATGCTCACAATTAGAACCATGCTTCTGATGATATGTATGTTTTGTACCGATCAGTACATGCACCTTTTTTTTTCAACACGCTCATCTCGTCAACATAGCCAGACAGTCCATGGAAAGCTATTGGATTTACCTATTGTAGGAAAAACAATATCTTGCAACAATACTTTCAACACTACCTGAAACGTTGCGAACCTGTCAGACTTGCATAGATTTCATTTCAGAAGCTGTTCTACTTGATATCTGCTGTCCTCGCTATTGTCTGCTGAAAAAATTATATGAGTCATCTTCAGTAGCAAAGTGCCAGATATCAACTTGTTTCTCATAAATATAATCTCACATCAATCCTTTTCCAGCTGATTCTGAATCGGAAGAGAAACTTGAGCCATTGTTCATACCAGAAATACCAAATACAATATTATGGCTACGCTACACAGAAGATGATACTATCTGGTTATCAATGGGAGGGTGAGTATTTCATTCATGAAATAAACGAATGTTTTGGAAAAGAATTTATCTTGATTCGATCGATGCCCGCAACTTGTTCAATGTATCATGAGCATATCTGAAATTTCCCTATGATAATCCGTTCGTCTATAGAACGGCGAAGGAGCTTTGGAATTCTTTGCCAATGGAAGTATTTCCGAGGACTTATAACCTCTGAAAGTTCAAGATAATTTCAACACCTACTTCCTCTTCCTGAAAATCATAGGAATTTCCTTTCGTGCGCTACTAGAGATGCGAGGTATGTTAGGACAAAACCTGTATATCAATAATAACTCGCAAGACCTTCGTTATTCTATAAAAGCTGAGGTAATGGCACCTTTGGCAGGTTACAGGTAGCATGTTGTTGAAAATTTGAAAGTTGCAAGTCTTTTTATGATGTGCCATCGTCTTCATTCCATGGATAGTGTGTTTTACCATAGTATTGTGTCTTTTTTTGCACTCAGGAATTCTCCTTGCTGATGAGATAAGTGTTGCTAATGGAATTCGCGAGGATATGATTAGTTTTGGTACAAATGCACAATTTCAACAAGTGAATTATAAGTGATGAAATAAGTTATGTCACATAAAATATACTGAATACTGTGGAGGGCTGCATTCCATGGATAGTGTGTTTTACCATAGTATTGTGTCTATTTTTGCACTCAGGAATTCTCCTTTCTGATGAGATAAGTGTTGCTAATGGAATTCGCGAGGATATGATTAGTTTTGGTACAAATGCACAATTTCAACAAGTGAATTATAAGTGATGAAATAAGTTATGTCACATAAAATATACTGAATACTGTGGAGGGCTGCAAATACTACAGTTTGGTTATTTTTACTCACGAACCCCATTGATAAACAAGTTGGGATTTCCCCAATTATCCCAATATGAAGGAACATAGAATTCCGAGACTCAAAAGTGACACCAGGCCTACTGATAATTGATTCACCTATAACGACTCTGCTCTGCAGCACATACAAAAGTAGAATTCATTTTATCTTCATGAGCCAGCGTCATTATTTGCTTTTTGTGAAAAACTTATTGAGTGTGATATTCATACTAATTGCTTGAATTCACATTTTATATGCTTTTCTGTTTCATCATGAATCTACTACTCCAGGAATCGAGTTGCTATCTACAGCGTAGTCTGAAAAACTTGTGTTATTGCTTGAGACTCATTTCATTGCAAGATAAGGCAAGTTCTCAGGAAAATCGACATAAATTCCAAAGCTGTGATTGATGAAATGACCTGAATTATGTTATCTCAAATGAAAAAAAGAAGGGAGTTTCTATTTGAAATCAGAAATTTTGTGCAGACTTTTGACACACTCCTTGTAGCTGAAGGGCTAAAAATATTTCAGGTTGATTCGAAATGATAGATTATAGCAGTATACCAATTTTCAAGTCTTTAATTCAACTTCAAGTTGAAAAACTTAGAATGTATGTCTTACGTGATCACACTGTATAAATTGCTTTCGAAGTAATCCAAAATGCTTGAACCATGACCATATTCATCATGGTCTAACGAAATTCCATTCCAGATATGATGCTGGATACATCTATGAATACAGGATCGATCAAAAAGAAGAAGAACCCTTTCGATTCCAGATGGTTCACGATGGAGACGACATCGAAATCAGCAGCTATGTCTATGAGTACTCTTCGAAATTAACTTCCTCAATGAAGATTCAATGACGAATGGATTTTCAGTTACAGAAAAGATTATCTCATATTTGCGATGCAAGATGGGTCGATACGAGTGAACAAAGTGAACAAGAAAGACTTCAGAGATGTATCGGACTATTGGACATTATCGATGCATGACAATCAACATGGCTTCATTCCCAAAATGTGCTTCAGCTCCGATGGAAAGTTTTTCTTCAGTTGTGGTTTCGACGGTAATATTTTCTCCTACAAGTTTCAACCAAAGAGATACATGTATCCAAAACCATCATACATAGAGAAGCGGGAGAATATTCCAGAGAATGTTCAAGATATTGATAGCTATATTAAACTCAGCTTAGAAGATACCAAAGTGAAAATTGACAAGGATCGTATTCAGAAAGCAGCGAATGAGCATAAGGTAAGGAATAATCCTATATACAGGGTGTTTGATCCATCGACGTATATCTGGAAGGAGTTGCTAAGTAGAGTGTATTGGAACATATCGATCTATACATTCAATATAGAAAAAGTAACAAGTTTCGAGAAATCATCGCTTATAAATTCGAAGTTGGATGTTACAGACAATTGTTTCTCAAATTATAACGAGCCATAACAAAATTTTATATCATTGAGAACCTATTACGTGTTCAATATCGATGAGATACGTATACGATGATATCTCGAACTTCGTAACATTTTTTATAATATTATACAGTGTCACCGTTAAAGTCCGTATCATATGGGATTTTTTTTTATTAGTCAGTTATTGCAAATTTAGAGTTCGTGAACAGTTTGTGCTTTGAAAATTATGCAAAATGACTTTTACGATGTTTTCCTATTCATCGGCTACACCTGTCAAATATGACATTTTTTCTAAAAAATTACTAAATGTCAGGTAATTTCTCAATATTTCGAGAAATATTATATGAAAAAGTTGTTTATTTTTAGATTTCCTACCCACCTACCAAATTTGAACCAGTTTGAACAACTTTGATTTTTTTCTCGTTTTCTTAACCTTACAATTTTTCGGCTAATTTAAATTTAGTCAAATCTGAAAAACCAGTTGAGATGTAATACACCCATCTGCTGAAAGAATTTTTTTCTGATTAAAATGTTTCTAATTGGATATTTTCAAATGAATATAAATATGCTGAAAGAATTATGTCTAATACTTGATGCAAAGTGGCTCTAGTTTCAACATAGCAAAATTCACTTTAATAATTTTTATCACATGAAGACATTTCAGATAAGTGCTATAACTCTAGAAATATCAAATCAATTTGCCGTTCAAATTCTTGCTAAATCAATTTCATACAATTATTCTCTCAACTTATACTCAAAAATTAATCATCAATCAAGGTGCTGTTGAAATGGGAAGTATCCTGTGGAAACAATAGAAGTGAATGTTATGGAAATTGATATAAAGTGTTTGACAGTTTCAAGGTTATGAAACAGTAATTTTTATCAAGTAGTAGATCCAAAATGCTGACTTTGCAGGAAAAAATAGAAATTGTACGCATTTGCGGTGAAAATACAAGTCATAGACAAGTTGCGAATATTTTCAATGGACGGCATCCTGAAAGAAATATTCACCAGTCTACTGTGAGCAGGATTATCTCAAAGTTCGAATCGACGGGTTCAGTACAAAATACTTTCAAAAGACCTCCATAATCCAAGAGTTTATGATGAAGAAGCTCAATTAAGTGTATGCCTAGATGTGGTAGAGCATGGGCAAACTAGTATAACAGATATTTGTAATAGGACCGGTGCTAAAAGGGAGGCCGTGAGAAAAATATTACACAATAATAAGTTCAAGCCGTTCAAACCAATTTTGACGTACGGTTGGATTTCTCTTTTTGGTTCCAAGGACAACGAGAAGAAAATTCAAATTTTCCTTGTAAAATTTTATGGACAGACGAGGCGACTTTTACCTCGAATGGGGTAGTCAGTTCACAAAACTGTAGGTGGTGGTCAACAGAAAACCCAAAGTTTGTGATAGAATGCCGAGATCAATATTCTTTCAAGACAAATGTGTGGTGCGGTGTGTTAAATAACAGAGTCATTGGCCCATATTTCTTCCGGGAAAATTTAAATTCAGAGAGATACTTGCAGTTTTTAAATGATGAAATACGTCAAGTTTTAGATGAAATGCCCCTTAATGAAAGACATAACCTATGGTTTCAATGTGACGGAGCGCCAATTCATAATTCGGCAGGAGTTAAAAGATATATCTTGGAAGTATTTCGAGGGAATACAATAGGGCGGAATATGGAACAACCCTGGCCACCTAGGTCGCCAGACCTTACCCCACTAGATTTTTTCCTTTGGGGGTATTTGAAGCAAAAAGTCTACAAGCGCAGACCATTTCGAGATGTCAACCACCTGGAGACAGTAATTCGAGATTGTGTATTAACTATGTCTCCTCAGTTTTTAACAAACGCTGTCAACGAAGTTTCCAGGCGAACCATTATTTGCATTGAGCGTGATGGAAGACATACCGAAATGTTATAATTGATATCCAACCCACGTTGTACATTCTTATCATTTGAATCGCCTTATAATAATTAATAAATGTTTATTGTGAAATAATTGTTCATTTTTCTATTACTACAATTCTTTTCAGAGCATGCCAGAGCAACTTGATTCATTTGTAAGTATTACTTCGGAGAATAATTTTTGAAGATTGACTTAGCAACTTTAGATCTATTGATTTGGAAATGGATTCGAAAATTCAGAACTAGAGCCACTTTGCATCAAGTATTAGACATAATTCTTTCAGCATATTTGTATTTATTTGAAAATATCCAATTAGAAACATTTTAATCAGAAAAAAATTCTTTCAGCAGATGTGTGTATTACATCTCAACTGGTTTTTCAGATTTGACTAAATTTAAATTAGCTGAAAAATTGTAAGGTTAAGAAAACGAGAAAAAAATCAAAGTTGTTCAAACTGGTTCAAATTTGGTAGGTGGGTAGGAAATCTAAAAATAAACAACTTTTTCATATAATATTTCTCGAAATATTGAGAAATTACCTGACATTTAGTAATTTTTTATAAAAAATGTCATATTTGACAGGTGTAGCCGATGAATAGGAAGACATCATAAAAGTCATTTTGCATAATTTTCAAAGCACAAACTGTTCACGAACTCCAAATTTGCAATAACTGACTAATAAAAAAAAATCCCATATGATGCTGACTTTAACGGTGACACTGTATATGTTCAAATATGTTCGAAATGTTCTTACCTATCATCCCCCCTAAGATGTAAGTCGGTGAAATAAACACCCTGAAAAGATAACCACAATATAAATGATCTTAATTCGTTTATACGAACTATTGCATAGATTTCGGGAGGATGTAATCCAATGTTCTGAGTGGCATATAGCCAGGAAAGTAGTTGTTTTTCTCTCGTTATCTACCATTTTTGTTCATTCAATGAAATAGTGTGATAATGACTTTGAGTTTCTCTCTTTGTGACCATTGCATTCCACTTTGAGTTATTGGATTTTCCCTAGTTATAATTTTTTGTTGAATAAAAAGTCGAAGAAAGTGGAATATCTATTACTTCGTCATGAAAAGAGCTTGCATGTGCTGTATTGACTTGGAATGATACGTTTCTTATGAAATTCGGAAAATAATAATTGCGAGCAATGTAAGGATTAATGAAACTGCGAGTACTACCTGTATTTACAAGAAGTTTGGCATTCGTTTCTGGTAAGAAAATAAACGGTAGATCTACGAAATAGTTGTTGTGATAAATTATGTCGGGTGTTTGGAAAGGGTTGCTTTGGAAAAAATTTGTTCTGGTTCTGTTTCAGTTTGATTCTGGGAATGATCGGTCAAAGTATGAATATAAGAATCTTGATTTTTGTATTGATCGATTGGCAAATAACGTGATTGATCGAAATTTTGGAATTCTGAATGTATTTGTTTGTTTCGACTATCAAAATTATTATAAGGATACTTAAGTTCATGAAAATCATAATTATTCGATGGATTATCGGATTGATCGTAAAAATTTATGACTTCTGGTTGTTGTTCAGTCATATCGTTAGGTGATGATAGTTATTCGGATAAATAGTATAGATATGAGTTTTGTCGGGTAGCTCCAGAGGATGTGTCCATTGGAGTGGGTTTTGGAAATTACCTAAACTTTTGATTTCGATTTTGAAAGTTTGGGTTCATTCTGGAATTAGGTGATCTTTGAAAATTAGGAAATTGTCTGTAGTTCATTGGAGGATTCTGATTCATATTATGATTTGGATATGATGAAGAATTGTGATTTTGTCATTGATGGTTGTCTAGAATTTGAAGTCATCGTCGGTCTAATAGGTGTTTGAGCAAAATTTGTTTGTCTCGATCTGAACAGATTTAAATTATTTTCCTCTTCAACGAAAGCCATTGCTTGTTCTGATGAGTTAGAATTTTCCAATCTTATTACTAACTATGTATGATAGGGTGAGCCGTTGATGAAAGTTTTCAGAGCAAAATCGTCCTAATGTGAAATTTCATATAGTTTTACATCGTTTGTTGCGTTTGTTGGGTCTGGTTTGGAAAAAAGTATACTTCTTGCATCTTGTATGCACATTCCGAAATCAAGTGGAGGTTTATTTCTAAGTGGTCTTAGAGATAATAGGTCTTGAATCAAACAATCTATCCCTCTCTGGAAAAATACAAGTGTTTCTTCAATTGATATCCATGTTTTTGATTATAAACGTGAACAAATCAAATCTGCGGTTCTGACTCCCAATTGGCTGAATATTGTATCAATCAAACAAACATTTATAGGTACATTTGGTACCGTCGGTAATTGTTCCGTATTACCATCAAACAAGGATATGTTATCGGCTTGGTACCGTAACAACGCATAATTCATTCGAGGCGTATCTTGATTCAAATCACTTCCTTCGTTCAAATTCAAAATAGAAATCTGGATCATCGATTCGTTCAGCGTTTATTTAGCTTCAAGAACGAATAAAATTATAAGTGGAAGAAAATGGAATGAGTGAGAAAAATATCGAGAAAAAAAAATGGTTCATGGTAATGTAGAAAAATAGGAAAATAGGAGAGCACACTTACCTACGTTATGATCAGCATTCCTAGTTTCATTGTCTTGAGCTAGTAGTCTTATTGAATGGTCCTTAGGCTACAGTTCTGGTTTCGGCGATGTTTGTCCTCAACAGGGGTTGAGCTTCTTTGTACTTGACGTTCTCCAGGAATCGGCGTCCACCCAAGATAGTGCGATGCTACCTCCAAAATATGGTACCTGTACTTGTCATAGTTATGAGTTACTTATTTCATCCAAAACTTGACTGACCCGAATTCCGTACAACTGTCCAAATTTTTGAATGTCGTAATTCAAAGTTGAGACTCGAAAGGATTCCACGATAGTTTCCTTATTACCACATTCCACC